CCTAGTTAGAAACGAAAGTAATACAAACTACAGCCCGAGTTCTATATAAATACCTTTGACCAACCATTTTCCAACTTCCAACTTCTACTTAAATTCGCAAATAAATTAAAGAATATATTGGACTGGCCTACCCGTAACATGCTTAAATAGGGTGACCCTATTCGTTAGAATGGCGGAATGACGGAATATTCTAAAACCGGCGGAATATACGGAATATTCTAAGACGCGGAATTTACAGGATATTCTTAAACAGAACACGAAATATTTTATACGGAATATTCTAAAACGCAAAATGAGAGAAAATTCTCTTAAAAAGGATATCAGTCGACTCCCACAACTCGAGCCCTCGCGACTGACTCGAACCTCATGCTATTAAACAGGGGCACCCAACGTCCATTTTCGGAGACGATTTGAGATCTAGAATTTTCGGAACATTTGTTGTAGAATTTCTTGCTTGCCTGCCTCTCCTTAGCCTGAACTTCATCCGATCGCTTCGAGTCTTTTTCTCCTCTTAACAACGTCGTTACTGTTGGAGTAATAACGACTCGAGGGAATCGGATGAAATTCAAGCTAGCCGCTCCTAAGATTTTTCGAACATCTAAAAAATGGTATAATTGCCAATTTTTCAAGGATTTTTACCCTAAAAAGGTCACCTAGAATTTTCGGGAGCCTTTTTTCTAGCTGAAATTTTCGAAAACGTAAGTTTTGATCCCTATAATTTTCGGATCACTAGAATTTCACTAGGAAATTCGAACAGATGAAAATTTTTTAGAGGATAAAAATATGCCTATACCTAACGTTCAAATACTAAAATACGTTTAACAATGCTATGTTTAAGTGGTTTTGAACTATATTCTCATTGGGTGCCCCTGATTAAACTCGAAGTAATACCAATTTTTGTTCCTCTTCAGAGCATTTTTATATAATGTTACCGTCAATGACTCAAACCATGTTTTAAGCGTGTGACAAGTGAAAAAAAAGACTTAATCACGGTTTTGGAGGCCATGTTGACGGGTTGGCAGCCGCGTGAAAATGTACAGTGTTGTGTGTAAAAGTTTTTTCTTCCTGCCGACTTAAATTCCCGGAGAAAATTGCAGACACATGTCTGGAGAATCTAAAGCAAGCGACCGGACAAATTTAGGCACAGGTGTGGCACCAATTAATTGTTAGTACAGTCCTTTGCTGTGAAGCTTAATTTTACGATTCTTTTTTTTTTCCGAACAGCCGCTTTACGAAAATTATCCGACGTTAGATTCCCATAAAAACACTGTAATTTATCAAGCGGTTGCCTGCCCTTCAAGATGGCTTCCGAAACCATGATAAGGTCTATGGTGTACGGAAGAACGAACATTGAATTTTCAATTCAAACAACCGTGTATTATTTGCCTCTACAGTTTTGTTGTTTCATTCCTTCAATTTCAATTTTAGCCTTGTTTTAACAGCAGTAAACAAACCAACCGGCACAGTTGTTGCTCCTTCAAATTGGCGCCAAAAAAACGCCCGGCAGAGACGCGCGCATGCTCTCCTGTTTAAGTTATTTCTTTACGCCATTTATATTTATATTAAATTCAGCATAATTATGTCATTCTGCAAGCCATACCACATGCCATTCCGCAAACTCATTCCGCCTTTTACCCTCACCGCAACCTACACGCGATTCCGACGTCAAAACACTTCAGCACTCGCCCGCTACCCAAGCAATAACGGTGGAAAAAACAGTTTTTTCCACGAACATGATAAACACCCTCTACACTTTCAAAATGGTGATCGGAAAACCCGGAAACGTAAATAATGGCGTGTAAAGTTAATCACGTGGTTATCTCTGACCGTTGCCCTCGTCTCTTATACATTTTCTTATCAATAAACCTTTTAAGTTTTTGCTTGTATGTTTTGTTTTTCCATTTCAGGCCATGTGATGTTCCTCAAGAAAACTGTTTCTTTATCCACGTATGCGTAAGTATTTATAATTTATGACTAGTAATAGTTGACACCACAGCTGCCCCCGTTCTGTATATAGTCGGTCAATAGTATTCTTGCTGGTTGTGTAGTGCTTTGAAATATACCGATTCATAAGGAAGATTTTCACACATATTCCATACAATAGGTGAGATAAATACAGGAAACGCAAGGGTCCATGCACGGTTTCAGCTCGATTTACACAGCTTTGATCAAAACATTCTCAGTTTCGAGAATAGTTTATTCTAAACCATAAGAAAAGATTTAATTAGAAGTTGAATTTTTCGCTATTTCTTTTCCCCTTTTTACATTCAGTTCATTTTATTTGCCGGAAAGTAAGCCTTAGAAATTAAAAGGACGTTTGATCGATTCACGCTAGCGCATTCTAGTCTTATTTGAAACTTTATAACAGAAGGACATCTGTTAGCAGAGAATAAGTCAGCACAGAATTTGATTGACGGCGAATTTCTTTAAATGTCCATCACAGTCTGCTGGTGATAAGCTAGCCGTTGTTCACTCGTCTTGCTTGTTTGAAAGTGAGTCTTATTCCGGTCAAAGAGAGAGAAAGAGTGTCTGGCAAGGTTTTTAATATAAATCAAAGATTTGTGAACTCGTCTCTGGCAAACTCTCCAAGTGTTTATATATACACAGTTAAAAACACCTTATAACCTCCCTGCGCTTAACGAGTGTCTTTTGGCCCATAACTTTCAAAACAACTGCTCCACAGAATGTCACTGCGTAACGCAAAAGACTATCGAAGCGTGACTGCACAATAAATGTCACAAAATCTACCTGAGCGGTCCCTTCGGGATTTTCTGTCTTTACGTCATCCTAACCATTTCGTACTTGCGGGCGCAAACAATAGAAACGTCATCATTACCTACCGATTCCTCGCGGCCCCAGTTCGAGCAAATCGAGACTTTTTTCTAGTATACTGACTGTATATTTGAACTGTAAGTACTGTCCTTAATATACGCGCGAGTTACTAGGGTGCCTCCTCGAGATTTCCCCTCTGGGCGAAATCCCTGCGGGGGCAAAAAGACAAAAGACAAATTCCTAATTGTCGATAAGTGAATTCACATGACACGAACGTCACGTAACCTAACACGAAACAAAAGGTTTACGTGCGTTAAAGAACATTTTGTGTAACTCAGTCATATTTGACAACAACTCTGATCTACACACCTACCAGTCTTTTGACGTGTTACAGTCGACTCCCGTTACTGCGGACAACCTTGGGGGGAAGATTTAGTGTCCGTAATAGTGGGGTACGAGAGAAAAAAAAATGTTCTCTCTAATTTAAATTTGTGAAATAATATGTAAAAGTCCCAGAAGCATTGTAGTTTCAACAGTTCTTTACTTCTTTTAACTATGGATCATAAAAGATTAAAGATAAGATTGTAACTTAATAGATGTAAATATGCTGTATTATCACTTCCAAGCTCAAGCAATGACAAGGGATACATAAGAAAGGGCTTAAAAAACTAAACGGAAACTCCAGTAACGTGGATGGCTAAAATGTTAACTTGCTGTCAAACCTAATCTTTTTTATTGTTCTTGGCAGCTCTTTTATCGCAGAAATGCTGCACAGAATACTCATAACAGAAACCTGTCTAACGACTTTTACAGTAGAGTGTTAAAACAACGCAAAATGTTCATAAGCTCTAATGGCAATGTCTTTTCTCCCTAAAATGCTGTACAGAAGTCAGTTGTTTACTCTTTAACAAAGAAGCGGTCGATGGTACTTTGTGTCATTTTTTCTTTACTGTAACGTCCCTTTATTCTTAATATCATGTGAGTCAGGATTTTTGACGAAGTACTTAAGTGTCCGCTATAGCGAGAGAAAAAACAAGTAAAATGTAGCGCTTGGCGGCAGGAAAGTGTCCAGATTTCCGTAATACTAGGAATAGCGGGAGTTTATATCATTCATTTCTTTATGCGTTTCGCCTGGGGGCTGGTTCCTTGATTCAGGGTGCAACGAAAGTTAGTTTACAGCCTACCATTCGGGCAAGCTGTAGCTAGCATGTACTAGCCCACAAGTCATTTCAACTAGTCCCAAAACCCTTTATGATTAGCAGAATTGATTACAATCTTTCTGTAATTTGAATTTCCCCCAAAAAACAGCACTTTCCCATTGGGCAAGTTAAGAACAAAAATCACTAGCCCGATAGCAAAATCCACTAGCCCCGGGCTACCAGACACGGCTTTCTTTGCACCCTGCTTGATTTTATTTAAATTCAGTATTTCTCACTCATTAGGAAAGGTGATCGACTGGCAATACGCTGGTCGAGAAAACTGGATAGTTAAAAATCTGTTACTGACTGGGCCCTAGATGTTTAATCCATTGGATAAACCCCTTTTAAGGGAATAACACAGACTAATTAATAGTTATTTCCATTTTTACTTTTCCTATGAAAAGTGATTCATATGATGGATAGCCTAATCCAATGTTCAAACCACTGGTGCCTGTATGATTAATAATTGTAAGTAAACAGAAATGCCTAAGGGGTTGTTTACATGACACTGGGGGCAACTTTCATGCCGGAGTGAGTTCACTACGGTTCCCCCTCATGGCTCTACATTTGTTTACATGATACCAACACAAAAAGTCATGCCGGCGTGACTCACCCCAGCGCGAGTTCACTCTGGTTGTTGTCCCGGGGTGAGAAATTCACTCCGGTTCGAAATCTCACAACAGTATCATGTAAACGCAAAACGACCACACGTTTCTGTGTGAAATCGGTCTGCTGGTGAACTGAAACAGGTAGCGCATGCGTTATGTTTGGGATTTTGAATCACACGTGTATTTTATCAACATGAAATGTACCTTCAAATAGCGAGATATGAAATGAGCCAGTCATCATGTAAACGAGATACAAAATCAAAAAGGCATCCTGGTATGAAATTCGCGCCAGTGCAAGTTTTCTCATGTAAACACCCCCTAAGAACTGGTGTCCACCTTCAAAGTCGCGAAGTCTACAGTTGAACCTCTTCACAATGGCCACATTGGAGACACAAGAAAATGGCCGTAGTAGAAAGGTTCTTTACGAACCACCTGAAGGTATATATCTCATGTGATTTTCATAATGTTGAAGAAGAAGAGATTCACTACTCATCTCCTCTTGACAAATCCAACAGGTATGTCTCTCAATGATGTCTGATCGCTGGTCTTCTATCCTATTGTCTCCAGTCTCTCTCTGTGTAGGTCTGGCGCTTGTTAATCTAATCCTCACATTACTTACTGCCCTCTTACTCTTGCAAGGCAAACCTTTAGAAACAATTTCATTACTATTGCGTTTATGCAAGTGTTTTCTACTGTGGACTTTCTCGTGACTTTTAACGCTCTGCGATCGGTTAAAACAGAGCTTTTCCCCGGTGTGAATTCTTTCATGCCTCCTCAGGTTTCCTGCTTGGCTAAAACACTTGCCACACTGCCTACATTCATAAGGCTTTTCCCCAGTGTGAACTCTTTCATGACTCCTTAGGTGTCCTGCTTCACTAAAACAATTGCTACACTGTTTACATTTGTAAGGCTTTTCCCCAGTGTGAACTCTTTCATGACTCCTTAGCTCTCCTGATCGGCTAAAACACTTGCCACACTGTTTACATTCATAAGGCTTTTCACCAGTGTGAACTCTTTCATGTCTCCTTAGGTGTCCTGCTACACTAAAACACTTGCCACAATGTTTACATTCATAAGGCTTTTCCCCAGTGTGAACTCTTTCATGACTCCTTAGGTCTCCTGATTGGCTAAAACACTTGCCACACTGTTTACATTCATAAGGCTTTTCCCCAGTGTGAACTCTTTCATGGCTCCTTAGGTGTCCTACCTGACTAAAACACTTGCCACAATGTTTACATTCATAAGGCTTTTCCCCAGTGTGAACTCTTTCATGGCTCCTTAGGGTTCCTGCTTCACTAAAACACTTGCCACACTGTTTACATTCATAAGGCTTTTCCCCAGTGTGAACTCTTCCATGGCTCCTTAGGTCTCCTGATTGGCTAAAACACTTGCCACACTGTTTACATTCATAAGGCTTTTCCCCAGTGTGAACTCTTTCATGACTCCTTAGGTTTCCTGATTGGCTAAAACACTTGCCACACTGTTTACATTCATAAGGCTTTTCCCCAGTGTGAACTCTTCCATGGCTCCTTAGGTCTCCTGATTGGCTAAAACACTTGCCACACTGTTTACATTCATAAGGCTTTTCCCCAGTGTGAACTCTTTCATGACTCCTTAGGTTTCCTGATTGGCTAAAACACTTGCCACACTGTTTACATTCATAAGGCTTTTCCCCAGTGTGAACTCTTTCATGGCTCCTTAGGTGTCCTACCTGACTAAAACACTTGCCACAATGTTTACATTCATAAGGCTTTTCCCCTGTGTGAACTCTTTCATGGCTCCTTAAGGTTCCTGCTTCACTAAAACACTTGCCACACTGTTTACATTCATAAGGCTTTTCCCCAGTGTGAACTCTTCCATGGCTCTTTAGGGTTCCTGCTTCGCTAAAACACTTGCCACACTGTTTACATTCATAAGGCTTTTCCCCCGTAAGAACTCTTTCATGACTCCTTAGGTGTACTGCTCGACTAAAACACTTGCCACACTGTTTACATTCGTAAGGCTTTTCCCCCATGTGAACTTTTTTATGCCTGCTTAGTTGTCCTGCTACACTAAAACACTTGCCACACTGTTTACATTCATTAGGCTTTTCCCCTGTGTGAATTCTTTCATGAATCTGTAGCTTTCCTGCTTTGTTAAAACACTTGCCACACTGTTTACATTCATGAGACTTTTTCCCAGTATGAACTCTTTCATGTATCGTTAGGTTTCTTTGTTTACTAAAACACTTGCAACACTCGTTACACCTTAAAGACATGGACTGTAGCTTCCTTTGCACCTCTTTGACATAAAATAAAGACATTGTCATTCAACATTTCTAAAACATTAAAGTTACTATAGCTTACTAAAACATATTTGATCAAATGAGGAATGATCCTCACAGTTGTGAATGCAATTCATGCAATTGCATAAGAAGCCTGAAACAAATTCAGAACGTCAATGGGATTTAAACCGTGACCTCGTGATACTGGTGCGATGCTCTGACCAACTAGGCTCTAAAGCCACTGATGTTGGAAATTGGTAAATTATGTGTTCATATGTTCCCATGCAATTGCCTAAATTGCGTTCGCTACCACATTCTTCATTTGATTTCATTTCTGCGGTTCTCATACAAATTACGATTTATTTCATATACATTTGTTAAGTATATTTGCTTGTACAATGCAATGCAGCAGCATCAATTGATGCCAGGCTGTCACCCCAGGGTTCCCCCCACAAATTAGCATTTTTCTTTTAAGAGCCAAATAAACCAAAGTTGTGAAAAAAGAGGAGGGCAAATACTTCCTCCCAGGATCATACCCAACTAAGACAGTACTACAATAGTAGTAAAGTGGTGCCACTTATTTCAGCGTGTGATTTCCTGTTACTGTATGTCTGCCTATCATCATTTAACCCTCTGTAATAGCCAGGGTAGACTTGCTACAAGTCGACCTCTTGGCGAGTGGAGCGAGCCTTTTTAGGCCCCAAAGCAGCCAACCATGAGCCACAAAGTCGCGAGAGGTCTTACGCCATATGACTTCTGACAAAGGACTTTCTTGAAAGTCTATAGCCAGGATGCAAAGAAAGTGAGTTTGACTGCTTGCCATTCAGGCAGGCTGTACCTACCACATACTTGCAGGAGTCGCATAGCTAAGCACTCTCATTTGTACTACAGTGTGCAGTTAAACAGGCCTAAAAAGTTAACATGTTGGACAGGCTCGGGTTGCTAAAACAATGGAAAGCACCATGCACTGGACAAATCACTAACCAGTGGACAAGTATTTTGGATGGTGATTTATCACTACCACCCTTTAAACAAGTGGCGGGGCAATTTATTTTTGTATAAGACGGAAGTTGCTGTATACCGCTTACCAGTATGCAAATTTAATATTTTTATGGTTTTTTGCTGCTGTGCCTGCCTGGCCAAAACATAATTTATGGCTGTCTTTTCCCTGTGCTTAAAAAAAAATATATATATATATATATATATATATAAAAGAAAAGATGATTGTATTTCTTGTTGTTTTAGAAACAGGGCTGTCCCAACTTTTCGTGTAATGACAAGCAAAAACGAACAGAAAGAAGAGCTGGTTACACTTTGACCAAATGCAGAAAAAGCTAAATTTCCTAAACGTTTGTTTGATAATATAGGAAAGAAAATTAAAGATGACTTATTTTAAAACATTTATAGTTTTGGACAGCAGCAGTTTCAATGTTTAATGGAAAGTTTTCACTGGAACCTGAGAAATCTCAGTCAATTATTTCTAGCCAAAATTGATTGATTGATGTTTTAAAAGTTTACTTTCAATCTAACTAACTAGTAAAAAGCAGAGTTTTCCTCTGCTTGACCCAAACATCTTAATGAAAATTACATAAGTCTGCCATATTTTCTTTTCCCCTTCCATTAAAAACCTGAAAAATTGGGCTACATTGTCCACATTTCTCTGAATCAGTATGGTACAAAAACTTAATGGGTTTCATTAGACAACATACAGGTTTTCTACATGCTAAACCTTAAATTACCAAGTTCAGCAATCAGCAGAGCAGTAAAATCAGTGAGCACTTACAAAATACTACAGTAACTTGACTTGCTTGGAAAAACGTGATGACTTTTTGATTCCGTATCGTGTTTACATGATGATGGGTCTTTGTATATCTCAGTTGTTTGAAGATACACTCCACATTGATAAAACACATGTGCGATTCAAATTGCAAACATGACGCATGCACTACAGTATGTGGTCCTTGGTCCACGACTGTTCCGAACATGATAAAATATTTTGTCTAGAAAACAAATACTGAAAAAACATGAATGTGTCCGATGATTTATGATTAGTCTTCTTTCATATGGCAAAGTTTCGGCTTTCCTGCTGTTGGTGAAGGTGTGAAATTCAAGTTTAATTTGTTGACAGGTAAGTTAATTTGTCTTTCTTGAAGTTTGTACTTTTCCGGCACCATAAATTGCGTGGACATGGTAATGAATAAATAAAATGCAATGGCGGGGAAGACGTGCCTTCTGGCAGGACAGGTTTTCATATAAAACTTTTTCTGTCTTTGGAAGCAAATTTGCTTCAGACTTTTAATTTTGTGTTTTATCGACTCTTGAAAAATATCACTAAATTTTGCGTAGTGGTCCTTGGTCTGCGACCTATGACTTTTGGTGTAATTACATTTCGCAAAATAAATGAAACCTTTTGATTGATGAAAGGAATGTGTTAAAAATATTCCTTATACATGTTTACCAGTTCTCTTTTCTTAGTATCTCAAATACATACAGAATTTTTAGTAATTGTTTTCGACTGGGCTGAATATTATCTATATTTTGCTTTACACAGAGTCAAAAGATGCCTAATTTTATACTGCTGAGTATTAATTTATAGCATAATGAAATGAAATGTTTGAAAATTACATTTTCATAAGGAACTATCTCATTCTCGCATACATGTACTTTTCGAGAGAAATTCTCTCTCCGGTACAACAACCTCGGTGAACTCACGCTGTGGTATCATGTAAACAAATTAAGAGCCATTAGGGAGAACTGGAGTGAACTCATGCCAGCACAAATGTCACCCCAGTATCATGTAAACACCCCCTTAGGGCACAATATTGGGCTGAAAGCACTAAGTGATGACTTGAATACAGAAACAGCATGAAACAGCAAATCATGACAAAGCCCAGTTAAGCTGAAGTGTTGTTTATGCAACAAAAATTGCAGTTGGTGCATTTAAATTTCTTTTTTTTTTCAAGTAAAAAATAGCAAACAAATTTTTCTGTGAATTGAGAGGGAAACTTAGTCTTCATATATTGCTTGTAACTCACTTTGACGGTTACCTAAAGTTACAGCTTTGTAACTAACATTATAACATTTCCAAACCAGTAATATAACCGACAAGTCACATAGTCAATTTTAATACAAAAATATTTCAACACAAGTCAATTTGAAGGACTTGATAAGTCTGATAAGGTCCATTCACTTGAATCTTTTATTTTACACGGGAATAACTTGTAAATCATCAAAGATTGAGTTACGTATAAACAGTTGGAGCTGAATTAAGATCAGTGCCAAAAACCATTGAATCAAAACTCGGACCAATAAATAAGGAATTCGTTAGTTTATAACATCTCTTAAAATGCAGTGTACCCTCGAATCTAATCTCCGTCTACTGAAACGCACAACTGCAATAGAAAAGAAGCACAAATCCCTCCAGATCTCGAGGGAAGGTTTCTGCTGTCACTTAGATGAGCTTAGAGAAGCTCGTTTTTTCTGCTGCTCAATCCTGTCACTTTTTTTCTGTCATGACTTAAAAGTCAGTCTAAGATGTATATATCATATACTGAAAAGTTTATCTTACCTTTGTTAATAAAGTTTCAGCGCTGTTCATTGATCAACACACAAGAACTCTGAGAAAGTGATCATGACCGTTTGTTTGTATCACTGTCCCGTACATGAAGTACCTACCCATGAAATAGTACTGAGACTGGCTCGGACAATAGGAAAAAACTTAGGCACGTATAACGTGCAAACATTGTCCGAAACGGCAGAGAGCACCCGTCACTACATCACATTCTCAACATTACCAAAAAATTGTACCCAAGAGTACCCTTACCAGGATCATACTAACTCACCAGTAATTAGACAACGAGAAGTCCCCATTTTCCCTCAGGGATAGTAGAGCGAGCGAAACGCGAGTGCGCGTGAAAATCACCCCACGCGAGAAAGGCGAGAAGCAGCGGTGAGAGAGAAAAATGAGGGACTACAGACAGAGCAAAGATTTTGACCTTATGCGTTGCTCTCACGACGCAAAACTCTGATTGGCTCTTCCATGGCAATCCGTCAACATCTTTCAAAAACGCGCCATTCACAATTTACAGAAGAACAAATAACTAGAGAAGAACAGATAACAGCACAAAACAAATAACTAACCTTTTTTGTATGCAGTTTTCAATGGAATCAAACTACTAGGAGATGAAGCCGCTTTTCCAAAGCTTATCATTTTCTTATATTGTTAGCTAATTGTGTAGATGGCATGCTATTTCACTGTTTTTATGATCCTTGAAACTTCGTTTTAAGATATTTCCAAAACGCTCCCATAGAATTTGTTCAAACTTTACCATAATTGGGGCAATTATGGCAGGTACATAATCCCTAGAGCGATTTCTTCAAAAAACTCCTGATACAGAGAAACACAAAGATAAATAAAAAACGTAATGGTGTCATTACATTGCCATGGCGACTGCGATTGTAATAAAACCCAGATCATAGGAAATTTTCATTTTTATATAATACAGTTGTTGTGGTAACCTTTTCCCCGTACCTTTACTCATGTCGACGTAGTTAATGCTCAAACTTGGGAGGTATCCCCCTCTAAAAAATCCAGTCGAGCCACCCTAAGTCTGATTAACTCGTAAAAAATGTCCAAGCTGTCAGTATTACTTTGGAAAATGATCTAACTTATTATTCATTCAAAACATTTTCCCGATTGTGATTGGCTAAAAGCACACGTTTAATTCACCATAACCAGTTACTGATGACCAAATTTGGAAGAATTTTGTGTTTGGCGAGGAAATGAGGTAAAAAATGAAGCGTTCTTGCAGGTTAAAGCATCGTTCACCGAGAAGACCTGGGGACGAGGTTGAGTTGTTTTGGTTGTGATCTTGAAAAATGGCGGATATTTCACTCGTTTCAAGAGTAAGAACTAGGCTAAAAACATGGCAAGAACAGCGAGATATGTCCAGGATCGATCTTGTTAGCAAACATTTGCTAGCAAATTTTTTTCGCAATTGTCGAAAAAGAAATAATTGAGAAAAAATTATGTCAGAAAATCACTTACAAATATCGCAAAAAATAACAAATCTAACAAGAATCAAGACTTAGAAAGAGAAGAAGCCAAGAAAAGCCCCGAAATGTCCGCAAATATTGCAAAAATCGCAAAAGTGACAAGGATTTTTCATGCTAGCTAAAAACACCCATGACGAGTATCGCAAATATCGCAAAAATGTAAATGTAACAAAAATGTAACAAAATTCCAGACTTTGCAAAGAAGCCAAAAAGGGGCCCGAAATATCCGCAAAAATCGCAAAAGTAACAAGGATTTTTGTTGCTAGCTAAAAACACCCTGACAAATATCGCAAAAATTGCAAAAATTGCAAAAATAACAAATTTAACAAAATTCTAGACTTTGAAAAGGAAGAAACAAAAAAGGGCCTTGAAATGTCCTCAAATATCGCAAAAATCGCAAAAGTAACTAGGATTTTTCTTGTGAGCTAAAAAAAAACCGTGACAAATATCGCCAAAATCGCAAAAATAGCAAATCTAACAAAATTCCAGACTTAGAAAGAAAAGAAGCCAAGAAGGGCCCCGAAATATCCGCAAATATCGCAAAGGTAACAAGGATTTTTCTTGCGTGCTAAAAACACCGGTGACAAATATCGCAAAAATAACAAATCTAACCAGAATCAAGACTTAGAAAGAGAAGAAGCCAAGAAAAGCCCCGAAATGTCCGCAGAAATCGCAAAACTAACAAGGATTTTTCATGCTAGCTGAAAACACCCATGACGAATATCGCAAATATCGCAAAAATAACAAATGTAACAAAATTCCAGACCAGGGGAGACTTATAAAGCAAAGAAGCCAAGAAGGGCCCCGAAATGTCGGCAAATATATCGCAAAAGTCGCAAAAGTAACAAGGATTTTTCTTGGAGCTAAAAACACCCGTGACAAATATCGCAAAAATAACAAATCTAACAAAATTCCAGACTTGGTAAGAAAAGAAGCCAAGAAGGGCCCCGAAATATCCGCAAATATCGCAATCAGATTGATATTACAGTATTTTGCTACTGTCAGTAATTATAAATAGTGTCGCGTTTGTAACTGATGTTAAAGTTCTGCTACCACCCCCTTTATTGCTTAAAATTTGCCCCCTTCTGTGAGCGACACTCCTTACGATGCATTGTAGCTGTATGAGGCTCTCTTTCCTCTTTTCCCTTACTATGTGTAGAATTTTGTGAAATTTATTATTCTTGCTACTTTTGCCATATTTGTTGCTCAATCTTTTCACATAGCATGAAAAATTCTTGTTACTTTTGCGATTTTAGCGAAATTTGCGGACTTACTAACGCCGTTCTTGACCTTTTCTCTTTCCAAGAGTAGAATTTTGTGCAATTTGTTGGTCTTGCTATATTTGCCAATCATTTCTCAAACTCATTAATAATTCATAAAGAAAATACAAAGAAAATTAATGTTTAATGAGTGTTTGGAAATCGGATGAAAAACTGCTCAGTATTTGCATCCTTAATTTCTCCTTCAACAATGATTTTGTTTGAGAAGAAATATCAAACATTCGACACAAATTTATCATTTTGCTACTTTCACCAGATGAAACACCTCGAAAAATTCTTGTTCGATTTTTTCGAAATTTGCGGACTTCCGCTGCGCGCCGTTCTTGACCTTTTCTCTTTCCAAGAGTAGAATTTTGTGCAATTTGTTGGTCTTGCTATATTTGCCAATCATTTCACTTAGGAAGAAAAATTCTCGTTACTTTTGTGTTTTTGCGAAATTTGCGGACTGCGCGAAGCCCTTCTTGGCCTTTTCTCGTTGCAAAAGTAGAATTTTGAAAAATTTGTTATTTCCCCAATTTTTGCCATATTTGTTATTCAATCTTTTCACATAGCAAGAAAAATTCTTCTTTCTTTTACGATTTTTGCGACATTTGCTATTTCTTCTATACTTTTCTAATAGCAGTCTTCTTTAAATCTTTTTTGCTAAAATTGCGAAAACAATTTGCTAGCAAAGTTTTGCTAACAAGAACGATCCTGGACATAAGTGAGAACAGCAAGAGGACAACTCGAAGGGCGACATCTGCTATTTGGAGAATATTTGCGGAGCTGAACAACCCTAAACGTGCACTATCGAAGATGAACGTAACATTGCTGGATCGATGGAGGTAAGCATGTTTTAGCCATGTGTTTAAACTAGGAATTATTTTGAATGAATAATACACCAATTATTGAATTCGGCTTTCGTATCATATGAAGAATTATGGAGATCTCGGAGGGTGTTATCCACCTCGGCCTACGGTCTCGACGTATAACACCCTCCTCGATCTCCATAATTCTTCATATAAAGATACTCAGCCTCATTCATTAATTGTTAACTATTTACTTGTTCGTTAACTATTTACTTGTTCTGCAAAAACGTGCATTGCGTTTGATGTATTTTGCTAAACTCAGAGACCATGCAATTCCTTTTTTTATTGAATCAAACCGCCTTCCTTTACAGTCTTTGTTCTTTCAATAATCAAGCTATTTAATGTATGACGTCCATACTACGACAGCTGCAAAGAGTCTTCTCAATAAGTTTGCAAAAATCAGTACAAAATATCATTATAATACACGATTATCCGCAAAGGAATGTTTGTCTGTTAATTTCTCTAGAACCGAAAAAATGAAAAAATCTTTCACTAGAATTAGGGTGTCTATTTGGAATTCCATTCCACATTCGGTTAAAACTCTCAACTGATCTAATCTTCGTAAAAAATTAAATCACTACTCCTTAATACCCTAGGTAATGAAGATAATTATTTAAAGGTTACTTATGTAATAGAATATTTTAAGAAGTTCACCTGATACGTTGTGTATACCTCAATTCTAATTTTAGTCTTTTTTTTCTCATAACAAAACCCCTCTGCTTCAGTTTATGTGAGGGGTTTTTCTTTCTGTGTATTGTTTCATTTCTTTTCTTTCCCTTTTTTCTTTATATGTAGTTTAATAACGCCTTTATTTATAATTTCTATCCTGCCTAGATTAGCGCTATAACTATTTGCAAGGCATAAAAGCTTTATGAATCTTGGATAGAATGCATTGTTGTTGTTGTTGTTTTCATTGAAACACACAACGGGAACCTCTGCAGAGGAGAGACCTGTAGAGTTTAATTTCTCGATTTTCACTGGTGGAGTGATACAACAGAAAACGATCACCAAAAAAGTAATCCGTCCATTTTCAAAACAAGCAATGTCTACTAATCAATATAAAATAAACACTAAAAACATAATTTGAACTTACCACTCAACCAATATTAATCAAAGGTGACCAATCGAGATGATACTGTTACAAAGGAACACCCCAAAACACTGGAAGAAGAACGAAGCTTACAAAACCTGAAGACCAACTGTTCCTTAACTTTGAGAGCCATCTTCAACAACATATAGCCTGTACTAGTAACATTAATTTCTTCTTTTGGATTACCTAAGAATTGTTCTGTCCATCTTCAAAAAACACAAAGTTTACTTCTTAAATAAAGTTGCCTTATGGAAACCCAAAAGAAACTTTTAAACAAAGCCAACTAACCACAGTTAAAAAGGAGAATATGCTTGCATTCAAAATAGAAACCTTCACAGAAAAAAATAACACTTAACTAAACCTAAAGCCCAAAGCGTTCTTTACGAACCATCTTCCGGTATATTTATCATATGATTTTCATAATGTTGAAGAAGAAGAGCTTCACTATTCATCTCCTCTTGGCAAACCCAACAGCTGTGTTTCTCAATAACGTCTGGTTGCAGATTTTCCATAGCACTATTTCCAGTTTCTCTATGTGAATGCGAACTGTGGACTTTCTCGTGACTTTTAAGGCTCTGTGATCGGCTAAAACACAGCTTTTCCCCGGTGTGAATTCTTTCATGACTCCTCAGGCTTCCTACTTGGCTAAAACACTTGCCACACTGCTTACATTCGTAAGGCTTTTCCCCAGTGTGAATTCTTTCATGACTCCTCAGGCTTCCTACTTGGCTAAAACACTTGCCACACTGCTTACATTCGTAAGGCTTTTCCCCAGTGTGAACTCTTTCATGCGTCGTTAGGTGTCCTGCTTCACTAAAACACTTGCCACACTGTTTACATTCATAAGGCTTTTCCCCAGTGTGAACTCTTTCATGACTCTTTAGGATTCCCGATCGGCTAAAACACTTGCCGCACTGTTTACATTCATAAGGCTTTTCCCCAGTGTGAACTCTTTCATGGCTCCTTAGGGTTGCTGCTTCGCTAAAACACTTGCCACACCGTTTACATTCATAAGGCTTTTCCCCAGTGTGAACTCTTTCATGACTCCTTAGGACTCCTGATCGGCTAAAACACTTGCCGCACTGTTTACATTCATAAGGCTTTTGCCCAGTGTGAACTCTTTCATGTCTCCTTAGGTCTTCTGATTGGCTAAAACACTTGCCACACTGTTTACATTCGTAAGGCTTTTCCCCAGTGTGAACTCTTTTATGGCTCCTTAGGCTTCCTGCTTCGCTAAAACACTTGCCACACTGTTTACATTTGTAAGGCTTTTCCCCAGTGTGAACTCTTTCATGCCTCCTTAGGTGTCCTGCTTCGCTAAAACACTTGCCACACCGTTTACATTCGTAAGGCTTTTCTCCCGTGTGAACTCTTTCATGAGTCCTTAGGTTTCCTGCTACACTAAAACACTTGCCACACTGTTTACATTCATAAGGCTTTTCCCCAGTGTGAACTCTTTCATGGCTCCTTAGGGTTCCTGCTTCGCTAAAACACTTGCCACACTGTTTACATTCATAAGGCTTTTCCCCAGTGTGAACTCTTTTATGGCGCCTTAGGGATGCTGCTTCGCTAAAGCACTTGCCACACTGTTTACATTTGTAAGGCTTTTCCCCAGTGTGAACTCTTTCATGACTCCTTAGGTGTCCTGCTTCGCTAAAACACTTGCCACACTGTTTACATTCGTAAGGCTTTTCCCCCGTGTGAACTCTTTCATGAGTCCTTAGGTTTCCTGCTTGGTTAAAACACTTGCCACACTGTTTACATTCATAAGGCTTTTCCCCAGTGTGAACTCGTTCATGTTTCCTGAGGTCTCCCGCTTGGCTAAAACCCTTGCCACACTGTTTACATTCATGAGACTTTTCCCCAGTGTGGACTCTTTCATGAATCTTTAGGTCTCCTGCTACACTAAAACACTTTCCACACTTCTTGCACTGTAAAGGCATGCAGCAGAGCTTTCTGTTTACACCTTTTTGACACAACATAAAAAACATTATTATTACCTTATAAATATCTCACCAAATAATAACTTACTCATTAAACCATGATAAATAAAAAAATTACAGAGGCAATGCCAGGAGATATAAAGAAAAACCCAAAACAAACTATCTATTCTACAATGTTCTTGTTGATTTAAATGTTCTTTATAAGTGCAACGAAGTGTTCCTTAATAGAAGTGGTCCACTACAAGGAGAGAGCTAAGCCCGCGATCTTCTGGACAAGTGGTCTATATATTTAATCAACCTCATTTCTTTCTACAAAGACCCCGGTTCTTCCCTGTGGTGCAAAGTTGTTTTAAACCAAACCTCCCTCATTTCCCCCAACTCCGGGGTAAAGTAATCTTTCTTATTATATGGCCGAGTCTGTTTTCGTCATGCGATTGGTCAA